GAGGAAGGAGAGGAGAAAGGGAAGGTGGAGGAGGAGGGGATGAGGGCGGTGGAGAGGAGAAGAAAGTGGGAGGATGATGGGGATGAGGTGGAGGAGGAGAGGAGAAGGAGGAAGGGGAGAAGGAAGGAAGGTGGGGAGGAGGATGGGGACTGAGGGTGGTGGTGGAGGAGGAGTAGGAGGAGGAAGGGAGGAGGAGAGGGGAAGGAGAAAGAGGGGTTGCATATTAAGAAGAGGTGATTGAGGAAGAGAAGGAAGAGAAGGAAACAAGAAGGAGGTGCTAAAAGGGGAGAGGAGCAGGGAAAGGAAGACAAGAAGGAGGAGGTGAAAGAGAGCGAGAAAGAATAGGAAAACAGAGGAGAAGATGAGAGTGCGAAGGAGGAGCTTGAGGGAGTGAGATCGTTGGAGGAGAGACGAGGAAGTGGAAGATGGTGGAGGAGGAAGAGAAGAAGAAGAGCAAAAAGCGAGTAGAAAAGGATAGTGAGAGGAGAAAAGAATAGGAGATAGGGAGAAGGAAGAGGGAGAAGTGATGTTGGTGGAGAGGAGGAAGGAGAGGAGAAGATTATTATAACCTTCTGTGTCATGATTATTTACTCTATCTATCTATCTATCATTCTCTTTCTTGCCTCTTTCCCTCTCCTTCTCTCTTTCCCTCTCTCCGTTATTCCCTTCTTCCCTTCTTCCCTCCCTCCCTCCCTTCCTCCCTCTCCGTCTCTTTTCTCTCTCCCTCTGTTACTTTGTCTGTCAGCCTCTTTCTGTCTCCTCACCCTCCCTCCCTTCTCCCTCCCTCCCTTCTCCCTTCCCTTCTCCCTCCCTCCCTCTCTTCCCTCCCTTCTCCCTCTCACCCTTCTCCCTTCTCCCTCACTCCCTCCCTCTCTGCTGATATTATTATTATCATCGTCATAATCATTGTACGCGTGTTGTGTGTGTGTATCGTGTGATGCATATGTATACATCTCTGCTTGTGCACTTGTAAACATACGTACTGTGTGTGTTGTGCTGTGTGTGGTGTGCGTGTGTGGTTGTGTGTGTGTGTTGTGTTTGTAGGGAGTGTGCGTGTGTGTTTGTGTGTGTGTATGTGTGTGTGTGCGTATGTGTGTGTGTACCTACATACACTCCCCCTATATGTTATCATTCACAATCAATAATAGAGAGACGACCTCGACAAGTTAAGAATAAAAGAAAGCTTAGCCTCTTCTCGTGACCTTTCTTGACCTTTTAACCTCCTTAAGGTTGGGTTTCGGTGGTTCGAGTCCTGGGAACTTTTTGGTGGGAGGTCATGGGTAGAAGACAGGAGGGGGGGGTGGAGAAGGGAGGATGAGAGACAGAGACAAGGACAGACAGACAGAGAGAGAAAGGAAACGGCAGGCAGACACAAACAACAGACGCAATAGACAAGAAAGACATTTCAAACAGACAGACAGACAGACAGACACAGACAGAGACAGGGAGAGACAGACAGACACAGAAACAGACAGACAGACAGACAGACAGAGACAAGGACAGACATTCAAACAGAACAGAAGACAGCACAGACAGAGAGAGACAGAGACAGACAGACAGACAGAGAAGAGACAAGAAGACAGACAGACAGACAGACCAGACAGACAACAGAAACAGACAGACAGACAGAGAGAGACAAGGACAGGACAGACAGAACAGAAACAGAAAGACAGACAGACAGACAGACGAAGACAGATAGACAGACAGACAGACAAGACAGACAGAAACACAGAAACAGAGACAGACAGAGAGCAGACAAGGACAGACAGTCAAAAAAAAAACACAGAAAAAAAAACACGCTTTCTATACCTTCTCCCCCACCCCTCCCTCCTCCCTCCTTCCTCCCCCTCTTTGCTCACCTCTCGCCCCTCTTTTATAACTCCTTCGCCCCCGAACAATGGTATAGGAGAGGAGGGAGGAGGAGGAGAGGCAGGGAGGAGAGGAGGAGAGGAGAGGAGGGGGGGGAAAAGAAGAAGAGAGGGAGGAGGAGGAGGAGGGAGGAGAATGGTAGAGAAAGAGGAAGGAGGAAAGGGGGAGGGGAGAATGGTACAGAAGGAGGGGGGGGGAAAGGAGGAAAGGGAAAGGAAGGAGAGGGACCAAGGAGGAAGGAGAAGAGAGGAGAGGAAGGCAGAAAAGGGGAAGAATGGTACAGAAGGAGGGAGGGAGGAGGAGGGAGGCAGGAGAGGAGGAGGAGGAGGGAGGGGGAAAAGAGGAGGAGAAAGAGGGAGGAAGCAGAAAAAGGAGAGAAGGAAAGTACAGAAGGAGGAAAAGAAGGAAGGGAGGGAGAAGAGGAGGAGGGAAGAGGGGAGGGAAGAGCCCCCAGGAACTTTTGTCTCCGCCGCCGACCGCTGTGATCCGCCAATTTGCAATGGAGAGACTTCCGTTGTTTTCCTTTTGCAATATTGCTTTCTGGCGCTGGCGACGAAAAGGGGATTCAGACACCTTGGTTTCATTATTACTTCGGTTTGTTTTATTTGTGTTTTCTCTTTCTTCTTTTTTTCTGTTCTTTTTGTCCGTTTTTTTTTTTTTTTTTTTTTTTTTTTTTTTTTTTTTTTTTACTTTGGTTTGGTTATTGTGTTTGTCGCTTTTATTCTTTTTGTGTCTTTTTCTATTGTTCGTTCTGGGTTATTGTTTTGCTCTTTTTTTCTTCCTCTTTTGTTCGATCTACGTTATTGGTTTGTCGTTGTATAATGTCTTTTTGTCTTTCTCATCTTTTTATCTGTACATCTTATACAACTATTTATGCGTCTATTTATCTATTTATATATCTATCTATATTTCTATCATTCTATGCATATATCTGTTCATCTATTTATTTCTAAATCTATCTCTATATTTTTATTAATCTAAGTATATATGTCTGTATGCATCTCCCTATCTATCTGTCTATCTATTGGTGGATATAATTTTTATATTTAATCACATTTATTATGAAGCTTGGCAGTGATGTATGTCTTTCCCTCATTCCAATCATGAATTTTGAATTATAAATCCATCAAAACCAAAAAATAAGAGGAAAGTCGAATATTTGACATTATATAATTCATTTGGATTTTTTTTTCTTTCTCTTTCTTTCTTTCTCTCTCTCTCTCTCTCTCTCTCTCTCTCTCTTTCTCTCTTTCTCTTTCTCTTTCTCTTTCTCTTTCTCTTTCTCTTTCTCTTTCTCTTTCTCTTTCTCTTTCTCTTTCTCTTTCTCTTTCTCTTTCTCTCTCTCTCTCTCTCTCTCTCTCTCTTCTGAACCTTTTTTGCAACATTTCTTTTATAAACCTTTTGTCGGAAAGGTATTTGTGCCGCATTTTGATTTTCTTTTATTTATTTTTCTATTATTTTTTATCTGTTTGTTTGTTTTTTTGTTTTTTTTTTTTGCTTAGGGATCTGATTTTTGTCTTCTTTTTTGTATATTGAACCTTGTATTAAGTTAGAAAATTGAATTTAAATGTTAGTTTTCAGTGGGAGAACAGACCCCACTACATCTCATTAAAGTAATTAGAATCGGAGCTTACTTCACAGAGTTTAATTATCTCTCCTTACTCCTGCTTAAGTGAGATTAGAATAAGCAGCTAAGGTCATAAGCGGCGAACACCTTGTGGGATTAAAATGTAAGAATATTTAAAAAGTTTTAAAAATTCTATCAATGAGTAATGTCTCTTATTAGTAAAAGTAAATAACAAGGAATATGATATTAACAATAAAAGCATAAATATCATGCTTTAAGTGAGCAGAGTGGACTGAAGTAGTGGATTCGCTTTTTAAAGTGGTGAAAAATGCGAGATAAATACTTAAGGAACACTTAATTTGTACAAGCGCCATGAGGGGGAAGAGAAGTCATTCTGGCCAGGTGGGGAAATGGAGTCACTCTAAATAGGTAGCTAAATGGTCATTCTGAACAGGGAGGGAAATGGAGACATTCTCAAGAGATAGGGAAATGGAATCATTTTAAACAGATAGGGAAATGAGTCAGTTTGAACACATAGGGAAATGAAGTCATTCTAATCAGGGAGGGAATTGGAGTAATAATGATCAGGGAGTGAAATAAAGTCATTCTAAACAGGTAGGGAAATGGAGTCATTCTGATCAGGTTACGTGAATTGATTCATCCTAAACAGGTAGGGAAATGGAGTCACTCTGATCAGGGAATGAAACGGAATCACTCTAAACAGGGAGGGACATGGAGTCACTCTAATCAAGGTGGGAAATGGAGTCACTTTAAACAGGGAGGGAAATGAAATCATTCTGGCCAGAGAGGGAAACGAAGTCACTCTATCAGAGGGAAACGGAGTCACCTAATCAGGAGGAAAACGGAGTCATTCTAATCAGGGAGGGAAATGGAGTCATTCTAATCAGGGAGGGAAACGGAGTCACTCTAATCAGGGAGGGAAATGGAGTCACTTTAAACACGGAGGGAAATTAAATCATTCTGGCAAGAGAGGGAAACGAAGTCACTTTAATCAGGGAGGGAAACGGAGTCACTCTAATCAGAGGAAAAGTCATTCTAATCAGGGAGGGAAATGGAGTCATTCTCAGGAGGGAAAAGGGAATGGAGTCACTGAACTCACCAGGGAAACGAAGTCACTCTAATCAGGGAGGGAACGGAGTCGGAGGGAAACGGTCATTCTAATCAGGGAGGGAAACAGAGTCAATCCAATCAAGGAGGGAAATGGACTCACTCTAATCAGGGAGGGAAACGGACTCATTCTAATCAGGGAGGGAAATGGAATCATCCTGACCAGCGAGGGAAATAGAGTCGCTCACACCAGATACATCACGAAGCCTCTCTGACCGGGTAAACATGATGACATTCTCACCAGGCAGACCAAAGCGAAAATTCCGTCACAGGTAAATAAAGAGCCACTCTGACCAGTCTTTGAAACGAGGTCACTTTGACCAGACGGGGAAACGGACCTGTCTCTTCGTGTTTGCGTAGGGAAATGTGTCCAAGGTCGACGAGTGTTTAAAAAAGGTGGATTTAGTCGTGTCGCAGCGTTTCAGCGGGGGAATTGGATGTATATTGTAGCCTGCGGAGAGGGAAATGGAATCGGATTGTCGTGTTTGGTGATGTGTCCGTAATTAGACTGGGATTTTTTTTTCCTGAAAATAAAAGTGTTTGTATGTCCATCTGTCTGTGTGTTATATTACATGTGTCTTTTTCTCTCTCTCTCTCTCTTTCTCTCTCTCTCTCTCTCTCTCTCTCTCTCTCTCTCTCTTCTCTCTCTCTCTCTCTCTCTCTCCTCTCTCTCTTTCTCTCCTCTCTCTCTCTTCTTTTTATTTGAATATATTTATATCCGTGTGTTGTGTGTGTGGTTATTTTTCATCCTTTTATTTCTCTTTTTTTATCTCCTCTTTTTCTCTTTCCCCCTTTTCATACTTTCATTTCCACCGAAAAGAAAATCAAAAACAAAGTAAAAATAAAAAAAATAAAAGTCCAGCTCTTCATTTTCACAAAAAGTCCAGCGACCGCCCCCCCCCCTCAGGCCCCGGCGCAGACAAAAGCAGCGTGGAAGCGATTGAGCCTTCGGATTAGACTCTGCCAATCCGCTTTTTTTTCTTTCTTCTTCTTCTTTTTTTCTTTTCTTTTCTTTTTCTTTTTTCTTTTCTCTTTTCTTTTATTTCATTTTCTTTTTTCTTTTCTCTGTTCTTTTTCTCTTTTCTTTTTTTCTTTTCTTTTATTTAATTCCTTTTCTTTTTTCTTTTATTTTCTTTTCTTTTTTCTTTTCTTTTTTCTTTTCTTTTCTTTTATTTTTCTTTCTTTTTTTCTTTCTTTTTTTTCCTTTTCTTTTTTCTTTTCTTTCTTTTCTTTTCTCTTTTCCCCTTTTCTCCATTCCTTCCACCTAAAAAAAAATATAAATAAATAAATGAAAAATAAAAAAATAAAAAATAGATAAAAAAAAAGCGACTTGAGTCTCCGAATGAGACTCGCTGCCTTTCGTCCGCATTCTGAGCCTCATTTACCTGAACCTGAAGCCTAATGAGCGGGGGGGGGGGGAGGGGGGGGGTCGCCCGCTGATATCGGGGCGCTAAGTGGAATTGGTCTTGTGTTGGTTTGTTTCTTGAGCTTTTTTTATTTCCTTTTTTTTTTCTTTTTTTCTTTTTTTCTTTTTTCTTTTCTTTGTCTTTTTTCTTTTCTTTTTTTTCTTTTTTTCTTTCTTTTTTTTCTTTTCTTTTTCTTTTCTTTTCCTTTTTTCCCTTTCCTCTTTATTTTCTTTTTTTTCTTTTTTTCTTTTCTTTCTTTTCTTTTTCTTTTTTTTTTCTTTTTCTTTTTTTCTTTTCTTTTTTTTTCTATTTTTTTCTTTTTTTTCTTTTTTCTTCTTTTTTTATCTTTTTTTTTTCTTTTCTTTTCTTTTTTCTTTTTTCTTTTCTTTCTTTCTCTTTTCCTCTTTTCTCCTTTCCTTCCCACCTAAAAAAAAAAAAAAAAAAAAAAAGCGACTGAGTCTCCGAATTGAGACTCCGCCAGTCGCTTTTTTTCTTTTCTTGTTTTCTTTTCTTTATTTATTTCCTTTCTTTTATTCTTTTATTTTTTTCATTTTATTTATATTTAATTTCCTTTTCTTTTTTTTTTTCTCTTTCCTCTTTTCTCCTTTCCTTCCCACCTAAGAAAAAAATGAAAAAAAGAAAGAAAAAAAAAAAAAAAGTAAAAAGAAAAAAAAAAAAAAAAAAGCGAACGGTCTTCGAATGAGACTCCGCCAATCGTGCCTTTTTTTTTCTTATTCCTTTTTTTCTTTTCTTTCTTTTCTCTCCGGATGAGAGACTCGCTGCCTAATTCGTCCGCATTCTGAGCCTCATTTACCCTGAACCTGAAGCCTAATGAGCCTGAGGGGGGGGGGGAGGGGGGGGAATCGCCCGCTGATATCGGGGCGCTAAGTGGAGTTGGTCTTGTGTTGGATTTGTTTCTTGAGCTTTTTTTTATTTCCTTTTTTTTCTTTTTTTTCTTTTTTTCTTTTTCTTTTCTTTGTTTTTTTTCATTTTTTCTTTTTTTTCTTTCTTTTTTTTTCTTTTCTTTTTCTTTCTTTTCCTTTTTTTTTTCCCTTTCCTCTTATTTTTCTTTTTTTTCTTTTTGTCTTTTCTTTTCTTTTTCTTTTTCTTTTTTTTCTTTTTTTTTTTTTTCTTTTTTTTCATTTTTCTTTTTTTTTCTTTTTCTTCTTTTTTATCTTTTTTTCTTTTCTTTTCTTATTCTTTTTTCTTTTCTTTTCTTTTCTCTTTTCCTCTTTTCTCCTTTCCTTCCGCCACTAAAAAAAAAAAAAAAAAAAAAGCGACTGAGTCTCCGAATGAGACTCCGCCAGTCCGCTTTTTTGTTCTTTCTTGTTTTTCTTTTCTTTGTATTTATTTCCTTTTCTTTATTCTTTTATTTTTCTTTTATTTTATTTATTTTCCTTTTCGTTTTTCTTTTCTCTTTTCCTCTTTTCTCTTTCCTTCCACACCTAAGAAAAAAATGAAAAAAAGCAAGAGAAAAAAAAGAAAAAAAAGCTAAAAAAAGAAAAAAGAAAAAACAAAAAAAGACGACCC